CCAGGTCCCCGCTACCAACGCAGAGCTATAAATCAAGTTAATAACCCAGTTGGGTTGCCCACCGACTTAAGCCACAATTTTAATGCAATTGACTTTATGAGAATACACAAATATTCTATGGTATATTAAGATATACTGTAGAAAATTTCATTAAGATCGGTTAAGAGAAAACCAACGTTATATGTAACTGCGCAATTGGATGGGGCGCAAATTCCAAGAATTTCTGCACACACACACACATTCATGCGTGTCTGCTTCGAATTATATCAACAGCATTGCAATTGCTATTGAATTCTGTGCTCTTTTTCTTAATAACACTTCATTATTGGTGTGGCTGTTGAGTAGAAGCGTCAACAAGTAATGCGGCCAGTTGCGAGTTCGAACCCTGCCAAGGGAACTTTTTTGTTTAAATTTATATTTATTACTTCAAGCGAGCGCGTTGTGCGAACTGCATTTGGTATTGCAATTAGAGGGTTCAGGGTATTTCCTAGTCGGGAGCTCTTGACTAGAACCTCTTGTTTTTATTTTCAAACCGTGTTAAATCAAAACCGTGCAAAAAACAGAAATAGGTGTAAATTAATAATAAATAAAACACACTATGTGATAAGTGCAGGTGAAAATCAATTGAGTTCGTCTATTTGACCGCAATATTTTCAAAAGTCCGTTATAAACTGAAGCCCGCTTTTCAGCGGAAGCTTTTGCCAATATATCTGTGCTTTTTCGCTTACCAGCTGATAAGCATGTAAAAAGATAAACAACAAAAAAAAACAAAAAACAAGAAGTGCGGCGCTAACGACTAATGCCCGCAACCCTAGTGTACTTTTGGCTGGCGAGCGAGCGGGCAGCAAACGTAGCTCGCATATCACATCATCGTAACGCTTGTATTATGGGCTTGAAGAGATTGTTTAAATGTTTGTTTGACTATTTAACTATTGTTGTTATTCTTCAACACTTTGCGTGGTTTAAGTAATCTAAATAGAATGCTAAATGTGCGGTTTCGGCAGTGCTTCCTTTTTTCTCATTATTAATATCACGTTTATTTTGGGTCAGTGTGTAAGAGAGAGGCAAAAAAAAGAGAGAGCGAGAGCGTTAACTTGCGTGAGTGTGTGGGAGAGCTTGAATGTGCTTCAGAACAGCTGTTACGGCTACACCTGTTGATATGCTGAAAGCTTACCACGGCTTAGCTTTGATGCATTCTGAATATGCATGGCTTATTATATTGTTTAGCTTTTGTTAAGTATACGCCATATGCACACGCGCGCATTAAATTTAGTTCCTGCTTATGTTTTTACATTTTACATTGTTGTAAAACCTGACAATTAATATTGGATTCCATTTCGTTTCCGTTACGTTTCGCACAATGATTTTCAACACAACAATTGCAAATGTGAGTACATATTAGACAGTAAGAATGAAATGAAACAATGCCAGTTAGTTGTGTTTTGAATTAAGTCCTACAATGCATTGGCATTGGCATTGACCAATCGTTCAGCGGTACAGTAATCACGAGTATGTTTATGGGTGAAACATATGCCTTTTTGGCTGCTTCATGAGTTTATGAGCAACTGATGTTTATATCTTATCAGGAAGCGGAACGAGAGCCCAAAACAAAAAGTATTTTTATCGGTTTCTGGCCTACATTGTAGTGATAATTGTATTACGGTTCTTTCTCTCTACTTTCAGCTCTTTCACTCTTTTTGCTGGTTATCGGCTTCTGTATTGTAAACATTACATTAGCTCTGATTATACTAAACAAGGACATAGAGACGTCGAGAGGTATGCTGTATCCGCGTGAGTCAGAGACGCGAGAGGTGCGTGCGCTGGACGGCATCTGGAACTTTGTGCGGTCGGATGAGTCAAATCCTACGCAGGGTATACGTGACGGTTGGTTCAATGATGACTTGAGCAAGAGCAGGCCAACCATTCCTATGCCAGTGCCGGCATCGTACAACGATATCACAACGGAGCAGGCTTTGCGTGATCATGTTGGCACAGTTTGGTACGATCGGAAGTTTTTCGTTCCGCGTTCCTGGGGCCAGCACCAGCGAGTGTGGCTGCGCTTTGGCAGTGTCCATTATGAGGCCTTTGTTGTAAGTAGTCACCGAGAAAGATGACACCCATGACTATTGTGTGGCCTGTTTGTCTGCAGTGGATCAACGGGCAGTCGGCCATAAAGCATGAGATGGGACATTTACCCTTTGAGACGGAAGTCACACATTTGCTTAAATATGGTGCAGAAAATCGCATCACCGTTATGTGTGACAATGCCTTGATACAGACGACGGTGCCGCAGGGAAAAATCTCCGAGGTGGCTAACGATCAGGGCGTTACCATCATACAAAGCTACACATTTGACTTCTTCAATTATGCGGGTATCCACCGTTCCGTGCATCTGTACACGACACCCAAAACATTCATAGAGGAGGTGGAGATCAAGACGAATCTGTCCGAAGACAACAGCGGTAAGCATCCGATTTAGACCAAAGTAGAGCTATAATATCTGCAGCTCATTTTCAGTGGGCACTGTGAATTACAGCATTACCGTGAATGGCACAGCCGCTAATGAAGCGGACAATACCCTGTACGCACGACTGCAGCTGTACAGCCGGGAGGGCGAACTAGTGGCCAATGCCACCTCGGACAGCAAGCTCTTGGGTTCATTGAAAGTTGAGAATGTTAAGCCCTGGTGGCCGTATCTAATGCATCCTGATCCGGGATACCTATACGAGCTAGAGATCAAACTCTATGCAGCCAAGGAACAGCTGCTCGATGTCTACCGTTTAAGTGTGGGCCTGCGGACGCTTAGTTGGAACCAGACTACATTTCTTATTAACGGCAAGCCGATCTATTTTCGCGGCTTTGGGCGCCATGAGGATGCTGATGTGCGTGGGAAGGGCCTGGATAATGCTTTGATGACGCGTGACTTTAATCTGCTGAAGTGGATTGGGGCCAATGCCTACCGCACATCGCATTATCCGTACTCGGAAGAGTCAATGCAGTTTGCCGATCAACATGGCATAATGATCATCGACGAATGCCCCAGCGTGGATACTGAGTAATAAATATAATTAATATAACAAATAATTAACGCTAGCTTACATCTTCCCTCTTACAGAAACTTTAATCAAGCTTTGCTGGACAAACATAAATCCTCCCTGGAGCAGCTTATACATCGCGATCGAAATCATCCCAGCGTTGTGATGTGGTCCATTGCCAATGAGCCGCGCACAGGACAGCTAAATGCCGACACATATTTCCAGTGAGTAATAAAATTATACAGCTCTCTTGGTTAATCTCTATCCTATGCGTTTTTTTTTACAGATTTGTGGCCAACTACACACGTTCCTTGGATAGCACAAGGCCAATTACAGCGGCTATCGCAGTGCCCTCGAATGATGACAAAGCGGTAAGTAGCATATCCAGGTTTGATTAACATGCTTAGCTCTTTTCATAACAGGGACGCAACCTAGACATTTGATTAACATGCTTAGCTCTTTTCATAACAGGGACGCCATCTAGACATAATAAGCTTTAACCGCTATAACGCCTGGTACAGCAACACTGGTCGCTTGGATATGGTCACACAGCGTGTCATTAATGAAGCGACCTCGTGGAACAATAAATATGACAAGCCGGTTATCATGGCGGAGTACGGCGCCGACACGTTAGAGGGCCTACATCTGGTAAAAGGGAACAAGGAAAGTTGTCATCGTTTATAGCTAATTCCCATTGCTTGTTACAGCAACCCGCTTTTGTATGGTCTGAAGAGTTCCAGACGGAGGTATTCTCGCAGCATTTTAAAGCTTTCGACGCTTTGCGGCGCAAAAAGTGGTTCATTGGCGAGTTCGTGTGGAACTTTGCCGACTTCAAAACGGCTCAATGTGGGTAACAATTGACAGGAGCGCCGAAAGAAGCGTACTAAAAGTTTCCATTTCCCCAGCTTATACACGAGTCGGAGGAAACAAGAAGGGCGTCTTCACGCGCGCACGTCAGCCTAAAGCGGCGGCTCACCTCCTGCGCCAGCGATATTTTGCTCTCGGCCGCGAGGTAGATCAGTGCAACTTGCCAAGTGACCTGTTCACCTACATTGCTGATGTGGGTTCCAATGTAAAGCATGATTCCAGTGATTTATAAAATAATAATCAGAAGGTTTTCATCTTCGACTGTGGAATACTTAAAATGACAACAACGTAACAGTACAATATTATACACATAAGTCCACGCGGAAGAAAAGTATTGTAGATATTTATACTGTTTTTATAACCAATGTTTTATCAAAACTGACCACAAATGCATTTCAATAGCTACGCCTTCTACAATGTTACATGCTTTTTAAAATAAAGAGTTTTCGCCTTTGACTTAAATTCAATTTAAATCATGTCAAAATGTACTCGGCTAGAAGCTTTTCTGTAAGAATATATTATATCTATTATATATTATATCTGTTTTTGGTATTTAACCAACTAAAGCTTACATATGTTAAGTTTTTAATAATTTTGTGGTTAACTTATTTTAAGCTGTTTATTATTTGTAACAGCCAACAAATAACAAGGTATGCATGTATGCATTCTCCCACACTCTTCATTAGGTCGTTTGATCTCTTACATTTCATTGCATCTCCAAGAGAGATGCTCTCCTACTCTCTTTACCAGACTCTACTGCTATCAATCTCTCTCTCTCTCTTTTTGCTTGCAATGCTATTCCTCTTTTACTTTCCTATCTAGCTTATTTGCCTCGTTGTTTACATACAAGTAAATTTTATTAAACGAGTGTAAGTTAGAAATGTTTACAAAATATCTCTGGAACTGCCACACAAATATTATCTCATTAACAAAATTCCAGAGCTCAGCAGTTGCTTCATTAAAAAAGTAGCAAAACGAATACCACCAAGTTCACAACAGCTGATTTTTGTTTCATTTGGCAAGTTTATCGATAATAATGTTATTGTTATCGATAAGGCCAAGGCGCAGAACTGCTAAATATAAAATATTGCAATGCTGTTTATAGGCGTTCCACGGTAGTTAATATTTTCTCTCTTCAACAGCGTAAACTTCTTTTTGTGTTACAGTCATTGCCAATTTGTTATCGCGTAAATACTTTGGTCGAGCATATATGACCGCTGAGTAATGCGGCAATGCGGGCGGTAGAAGCTCAAGTAATTATTAATTGACTCACATATGGACGTTTGTTTTATTTTGATGATAATATTAATATATATGTTTTCATAATTTATTACGTTTTTGTTTTAAATAACAGAATTATAGCGCCATAATGCAGACAAGTACATGTTTTTTGATAACTTTCTTGAGCTGTTGCATATTGGCTGCAGTCGGATCCTGCCCTAAAGAATTTGCAAATCTAGAGGAGTCGACGATTGCGCATGAAAACATATATACTTACTCAAATGTGAAGCCACCGAATCCCACAGTGGGTCTGCTCTATCCGCGTGAGTCAAATACGAGAGAAGTGCGCTCTCTGGATGGAATATGGAACCTGCTCAGAAGCAATGCCAGCGATCCGCTACAGGGCATACGGGAAAAATGGTACAAACAAAACATTAGAGCGACGAATCACGAAATAACTTTAATGCCTGTGCCAGCATCTTACAACGACGTGACCGTAGACCAGCGACTACGAGACCATGTGGGAACAGTTTGGTATGAGCGACATTTTTTTGTACCCAGCCGTTGGCGTAAGGATCGCATGCGCGTCTGGCTTCGCTTTGGTAGCATTCACTACGAAGCTATTGTTTGGATCAATGGTCAAACTACAATGCGCCATAGTTTTGGTCATCTGCCGTTCGAAGTAGAGATTAGCAGTTATGTCAATTACGGCAGCGAGAACCGCATCACAATCATGGTTGACAACCGGCTCAACAATCGCACCATTCCTCAGGGTCAAGTGGTTAAGCAAGTCAATGACAATGGATTCGCCTATATACAAACATACACATTCGACTTTTTCAACTATGCCGGCATCCATCGTTCAGTACATCTTTATACAACTCCACCAACTTACATAAGCGACGTGGAACTGAAAACGCAGGTCTCCAGAAATCAAATAGGCCGCATTGATTATCGCTTGTGGCTTGGTAATGCCGAAGTTTTGAATGTGAAGTCTACCCATGTGCTAGTAGAATTGCTAGACAAAAATGGAAATGTTGCGGCTCATCAAATAAATCGGGATATTCGCAATGGTACTCTGCTTGTGCCAAATGTAAAGCCTTGGTGGCCCTATCTTATGAACCCGGATCCAGGATACATGTACACACTGGAATTTCAGTTGATCGCCGAAGGAGGAACCGAAGCAGAGCCAAATAATGAGCTGTTGGACGCCTATCGACTGCCGGTTGGCATTCGCAACCTCAGCTGGGACAAGGACGGTTTGTTCCTAAATAACAAGCCGCTTTATTTGCGCGGCTTTGGCAGGCACGAAGACTCGGATGTAAGTTGTGTAAAACTGCGCAGTGTTCAACATAATTACCTTATATTCTGACGATGCTTATTACAGATTCGTGGTAAGGGCCTGGACAACGCGCTGCTCACGCGCGACTTTAGTCTACTGCGGTGGGTTGGAGCCAATGCCTACCGCACCTCCCATTATCCCTACTCGGAGGAATCCATGCAGTTTGCAGATCAGCATGGCATTATGATCATTGACGAGTGCGCTAGTGTTAATACGGATTTGTTCGAGCCAGAGCTGTTGCTTAACCACATGTCTTATTTGGAGCAGCTTATTCATCGCGATCGCAACCACGCCTCCGTGATTGCCTGGTCGATAGCGAATGAGCCGCGCACAAAGAAAAAAGCGGCCGAAGCTTATTTCGGGTAAGTTATTAAAAATCGAATTGATAAGTATTAAATTGCATTTTACGACAGCGCATTGGCCAACTATACAAGGGGCATTGCCCAAGGACGTCCTCTAACGGCTGCTAGTAATGTGGATAAGCCTTCTGAGTGCATGATGTCACAATTTTTGGACATAATTGGCTTTAATCGTTACAATGCCTGGTATCACAATGCAGGACGCACCGACATGATTGTGCAACCAATGTACGACGAGGCCAAAAATTGGCGAGATCGGTATAAGAAGCCGGTTATTCTGTTTGAGTATGGCGGTGATACCATTGAAGGATATCACACAGTAAGACTTTAGAGAAACATTTAAGCGAGTAGCGCCTTAATCACTTTTAATATAGTTGCCCGCATTTATCTGGTCGGAGGAATATCAGACGACGCTATTTTCGAAACATTTCAGGGCGTTTGATCGATTGCGAGAGCTTAAATGGTTTATTGGTGAATTTGTCTGGAATTTTGCCGATTTCAAGACAGAGCAAGGTAAGTAACTAAAAGTTTCCTAGGCCTAGATAACTCATCTAACTAATTATTCGTAGCTTTCACGCGTGTGGGGGGCAATAAAAAGGGCGTTTTCACACGTAATCGTCAACCCAAAGATGCAGCGCATCTGTTACGAAAGCGTTACCACGCACTTGCATTGAAACTGGACAACGCCAGCTTGCCTGCTGATCTCTTCGATTACATTATTGACTGGAATTAGTATTCATTCGCCTTAACTTATAATATTCCCCAAGAGCATATATGTAGCTGAAGATAAAGTAGATGACTTCAATCGTAAACAGGTTTTATGGCACTCTTGGTTAAAGTAGGAAACCAAATATTTATGTGGCTTATTCTTTCATATCTTTCTTTGTTCTGAAAGTGAATTCCAGGAAATTTAGCTTTCGAAATCTTAAAGCAAATACTCCCTCTAACAAGAGCGAATTAAGTAAATACTGATAAATTTCATAGGCATAACCCCCCAGTACAAATTTAAAGAATTGCCATAAGAGCTTGTTGCTGAAATTACTGCTGATTGCGCCTCGATGGGGGAAGCACAACTCTGATAAAAACAGCGACAGCATTTATTTAAAATGCAAGCACACCAAATATTCAAGCTACAATCAGTATTAAAGTTTACTACTGACAAGATGCATAGCGCTGTCCTGCTGCTCCCATTGTTGTTCTGCCTAGGAGCTAATGGCGATTTGTCTACGCCCCTTGTTACGGTCCATATGGAGGACTATATAGCTCAGAACCAGAGACAATACGACGCCAAGCTCAAGACCTGGGAGGATGAATTGGCTATTTTTCGGAAAACCTTTACCAGCGAACTGCGAGCTATTGATGTGCATGCCGATCAGCTGGAAGCAAAGCTGGAGGAAGCGAAAGCACGTCTAAATCCAATTGAGCTTATTGACTCTTGGCACAAGCACTGTGTGCAGAACTACAGCGCAACCATTCCTTTATTCGCCAATGTGCGAAGCGCCCTCAGCAGCTGTTTCAATTCGGCCAATAACAACCTGAACTCTATCCTAACGAATCCACAGAACACCTTTAACAGCCTAAAGAACTTCTACAACAGCAACCTAAAAACATTACTGTCCGACTGCGAGAAGCGGAACCCCAAAAGCCAATTGAACTACACAATCTGTGTTGAGAATGCAGTAAGTTAGCGAATGCGCAAAGCTTTGAAATTAATGAATAGCATATATATAAAATAAACTCTCCTAGATTTCTACAACCAATACCTTTACTCTAAATAACCAGAAGAACTTCAACAATTACATGCAACAGGCACAGTGCGCTGCTGATATACGCACCACGCAGGCCTGGGAGTGTGCCTTCACCACGGTCTATAGTACCAGCTCATCACTGGGGGCATCCATACGTCTTATCGATGATTGTATTGCCAATAAACTGGCGTGCGCTTCCGTATCCTGCACCAGTAGTTGCACTAATCATATGATTATCAGCTGGAAGGAGAATGACTTTCTTAACGCCACCATTAAGAATCCGTTTTATGGATTGGATAGTAAGCTGAGTTGCTTAGAAATGAAGTTTAAGTATTAAATTCGAAAGAATTAAATGCAATTTTTTGATCACTTGTACTTGTCCAAAGACAATAACATGTCCATATAATTTCAAATTGTTTACTTGCTCAATTTCTAATTAATACACACGTTCGACATGCAGGCTTCTATTAAGTCGGATGATCTTATAAAAAGTGTTTTGTTGTCTATGATCTACTCGGGCGATTAATATTCTTCTTGCATTGCAGTGTAAGAACGGAGGCTGTAATGTTCGGAATCAGGCAAGCAGGACAGATAATTTTAGGGTATACAAATAGTTGAAATAATTTATGATCGTTGTTATGCAACTTAATTTGAAAATCTTTCTGGAGCAACAATATTGTGAATAAAATAACAGGCGAACATGTTCGCGAGCACGTTACCACTGGGCAAGGATTTCTACCTGAAGTCGGTGCGTTCATACCTGTTTCTGAAGTAAGTTTAAAAAACCACCACCAAAATGTCTACGTTATTGCTAAGGTTTCCTCGGGTGTCTCTTTTGTGTGTTCTTAAGATGGCAAACGCAGACATTAACCCTCTATGCAAGTAGCTCTCCGTCTTGGTAGTTACTAGGGCAACAGCAGCTTCAGCAGTCGTTTCTTTACTCAACACAGCAGACACTGCCTTACCTGGAAACGTCTGCTTTATTTTATTTGTAACAGGCCAGAACCCTATGCAACATCTTCGTTACTATTTATTATTATTATTATGGCACAATCACAGGATCAACGTCTTCAGTCATTTTTTGAGGAATCTCAATCTTGATAATTCAGCAGGCGTGCAGAAAAACGAAAGTAAGCACGCTTGTGAACAATGCTATGAAAAAAAAAAGAATTACAGAAATAAAAACTCATTTTCAAGGGGACCTCCAGCAGATTAGGATCTTTTTCAACAAAAAAATATGTTCGCTGCCAGCATCGTGCAATGCATCTTGACGTTTGCGTGGGAACCTTTATAGAATAACTTTAGTTTCTGAACAGGCGAACAGACAACATTGAAGAGCTAGATTCTCACGCTGAATTACTTAATAAGATCCTCGATTTGTTCTTGTCTTGGTTGGGTCGTGCGATCCAAACATATAATTGTGAGCGTGAGAAAATTTCACGCCCTGTGACAAACGCCTGCCAGGCGAGCAGAAGCTGCCATATGCGTGACGGAACTTTCTATGCTGTAATAATAAGAAAAACCTAAAACGGAATTGTAAATACGAGGCCTGAGAAAATATTTATATCTACCTTATGTATACATAGTTTTTGTTTGTGTCTGTCTGCCTATGGGAGTTTTTAGAGACGCATTCCTATCCCGTCTAACAGTCTGTCGGGGCTTCATTTTAAAAAAGAAAAGCAAATTGTTGTTCCCGATCATTGTTTAATTAAAGTTGGCGTTGTGTGTGCGCTTAAGCACAAATGGATTCTGATATTTGTCACGATAATTTCAAGGTTTTGAATAGGCTCACAGAAGTTGACACAAGCGTGCCTCCAGACATAGTTGACGTTGCATGTGTGGAATTTGTATTGAATTACATTCTGAGTGCCAAGGCTCATTTTTCGTCCCATTGAAACGAACAAAGTCAACAAATTTTAAATATTAAAAGAGTTAAAAAGTGTAGCATGGAATCAGGCAAACATAAAAATGACAAGGCTTCACGATTCTGAACGTTAACTATAGAAAGCCGAGTCAATGCCAGCAGCCAGGTGCTGCTGACCTGTTCGAAATCAATTAGGAAAGTAAACAAAAAATACATAAATCAACCGTTTACCCTCATTCTTGGAATTAATGGTCCGGGCGGTAGGTTGAGGATTCAGAATGCAATCAAGCCTAACGAATAAACAGGTGCCGAGAATCTTGCCGAAGGTTTCAAATTGAGTTGAGATTTTTATGCGTGCTGAAATTTCAGTTGAAAAAAGAAATTTGAGACACAAATTGATGGCGTTCCCTTTGTAAAAATTTCCAAACCAGCTTGTTTATAAAACCTTAACCAATTTTCTGCTAGCCTATTCTTATGCACCAGTTTAAAGCTGACATTTTCATTCATTTTTGCGTTTCGTTGTGCGAGAAAGTTGAAATTATTTACTCTACCTAAGTACATATCAGTTGAGAAGAAATATAGCAGTTAGTTTTCATGAATAATTTATGAGATTAAAGATAAGCAAATAATACAAACAAACCTTGAATCAATGAAGCGTGACCTCAACGATGAAAGGAATAGGATTACAGAAGTGCTAAAATGAGATACGTCTAGGATTTTTAAGATCACAACAAGACAATCTGTGAAACTCTCATTTTCTAAGCCAACATGAGAGATTTGTTTTAAGATTTCAATGGCTTCTAAGTTATGCAGACCTGTTAGAAATAGGAGCACGAAAACAAACAAGAAAATATCTCATTTATTAGTTTTCCACAATGAGGAAAGAGCTCAAGAAAAGATTTTTGTCCGCATCTTTGAAATAAGTATACTGGGACAAAAATAGGTTACGGCAGGTAGCAAACTGTCTAGAAAAATCTTAGTCGGGCATAGACTTTTCTTACTTACTGTGCTCCTGTTAACAATAAATAAGCTGAACAAACAACCAATTGAGGAAATTGAGCACATTTTTGGTCTACAAATTGTAACACATACATACATATGTACATATGTATGCGGCCGAAAATTTTCCGAGAAAATGCCACAATGTAAACTCGATTAGGTCCCTTGTTGAAAAATCTGTTCGCCTCGGCGAATGTTACACTTGGTTTCACATGAGCAACAATGATTAATTGTGATGCTGCACCCGGTCCATAGCATGTCACCTCATTTCTATATTTTTTTATTTGTCTAACTATTTACTTTCATGGGCGCCTGCTATAGCTTAAGGCAGTAGCTTCAAATTTCTTAACCGATCTAGCAGTAACAGTATTGGGGTTTCTGTCGTTAAGGAATTGGATTTTTGTTAAGCGCGTTGCTTGACAATTGTGGCAAGTATTTAGTTTTTTATAGGAAAAAAAGCTGCCCACTATTGTTAAGCAATAAAGTGATGAATATTTTTAAAAATAGTTTGTTTGGTTTAATTATCTGATTTGGATCATAATTGTAATAATGCAAAAAATATAAATATTTATAATAATTATATTTTCTTAGGTGTTTTTGACCTTAAAGCGTTTTATTATTGAGTAAGGTAAAATCAAAACGGTTAGATTCCTAAAAAAACAGTACTTTGGCCGAAGTCGCTCAGCGACCAAGCGTAGCCGTGATCGTCTAGTGGTTAGGACCCCACGTTGTGGCCGTGGTAACCCAGGTTCGAATCCTGGTCACGGCAATGCTATAAATGCATTGTCACGGAGCTTGATTGTACTTTTTATTACGAAAATAAATTTATTATTTTAATTTCCATCTAAAAACATATATCGTAAAAGTTGTGTCTATAGTGCTAACTATTTTTTGACGCCAGTCTTTTTACAATGTTAATACATAATAACATATTGTACTCTAGATTGTACCTATTTGAGGCTGAATTGTATACATACATACAATATTTTTATATGACTAGCGTTGTTAATTTATGAAAAATTGAAATTGTCCCACTTGAGCGCAGCTACAAGCGCCATCTATTTTTCAATTATGTTTTTCTAATTTTCACTAAAAGTGTTTGTGTCATTGCTTGTAAATTAGCGGCGGAAGCGACTTTATACAATCAAACTGCATTCAATAGCCATCTACCTTTTGTCTGTCTTTAACATATGCAGAAATGTGTATGTGCGTGATTGATTGTAAGAACAGATTTTAGTCGGACGGGCAACATAACCGATGTAGCCGTGATCGTCTAGTGGTTAGGACCCCACGTTGTGGCCGTGGTAACCCAGGTTCGAATCCTGGTCACGGCAATGCTGTAAGTCTGCATTGTCACGGAATCGGATTGTTTTTTTTTAATCTTAAAATACATATGGTGGTAATATAATAAATATATATATGCTAAATTATTTTCATACACTTTGGGAACAAATACCAAATATAATTAAATAAATGCAGATTTTTTATCACATAAATCCTAATGAATAAATATTTTACTTTACTTTATAGACTAGTGTTAATTAAAGTGGGTCAAATGACAACAGCATTTTTAAATATATTTTTGTCCGTTTGATAAAGCCCATATCGATTCAGTTTAACTCTATTTTGTTCCTTTCTCCTCCGCGCTCTGCTACAGTATTGCGTCGACACTGATTACTTTTAATGTTTTTGGCAAAGCGTCGTTCATGGGATGTATTAAAATTCCGTTTTAGTTTGTTTAATTAAAGAAAAATCTGTGAACTTTAAAAAAAAATATTTGACTTATCACCCGAGCTGTGTTGAATGTATAGGCCGCATCATAACAATTAATGATTTTCATAATTTATAGAAAGACTTAAAACATTTAGACTTTAAAAAAAAGTTTGTATGTTTTGTATTTGTTTAGATATTTGGACATTGCCATTTAACAGCCAGACGTAGCCGTGATCGTCTAGTGGTTAGGACCCCACGTTGTGGCCGTGGTAACCCAGGTTCGAATCCTGGTCACGGCAGTGATGTAAGTCACTGTCACGGAGTCGAGGCTTATTTTATAAATTTGAATTTTCTTTTGCTTTATCGGAGTCTGCACTGCCTCATGAAAGTCTCCTGCATGTTGTAAAAAATTTCAGAAAAGCAGTTTGTCTTTGTAAAAACTAGTTTTATTTAGCATATGCATTAGTAGTTGTATATTTAGGGTTTTGATATTTACAATTGCCGTTTTGCATAACATAAATACGATATATTCATTTAAATATTTTTCTAATTATTATAAAAACTATTCCTCGTAATTAAAACAGTGGTATAAAGCTTTATCATTTTGCATATATACGTCGAATTGCGTTCGAATTAGTGAAACTGTTGTATACCCTTACGATGAACTCACATTTAGAAATCAACCATGCACACCCGCGGAATGTGTAAAAAAAAAAGAAATATTAATTGTATTACAAGAAGTTTTTTATAACTGCAAGTTTCCTTTTCAAAAAATACACAAAATAAAACGCCTAAAATGACTGAAAACAAATACGGGATTTTCCATCTGAAACAAAAGCTTTAAAAGCTATCTTCACATTGGCTGCTCATTGCTGCCCATAGAGCAGTTCAGAGCCGGGCGGTATGGTGCTGGGATCGACATTGGCATTAAAGTAGTTTGCGGGCGATGCAACAGCTGGAAACACAATCTCAGCAGACTGTTGTTGTGGTTGTTGATCCTGCGGCGCCTGCTGTAAAGTTATATTATAGGGGTTCTGCACGTATTCCTCATAAATGTCAGAAGCATTGCCAGTATGTACCACCTCTGGCGCCTCATAGACTGGCACGAAGCTGTGCACAATGGCTGCGTTCGGCATCTTGGGCAGCGATGGATATGCATTAGAGGCCAAAAGATGGCTAAGGGGTACATTACTTGGTGTATGTGTAAGTGTCTGCTGCGTCTGGTACTGTTGATATTGGAATTGCTGATGCAAGCCCTGCTGATGCTCGACCGAATTTGGCGGCGTAGCTGGCAGCTCAATAGCATAGCTATGACTGCTGACGATGGGTGTAGAAATGGGCACTTCCGCACTGTAAACGGGTGTTGTGTACGCATTGGCGTGAGCTCCAGCCGCTGCAGCTGCCTCATTGATCAAATCGGGCAGTAATGTGTTATTGTTAACGAGGGACTCCAGTTCCGTAGGCTGTTGTGGAGGAACCAATATCGGCTAAGGAGCAGGCAAAGTGTTAAGTTAATTAGGAAACAATATTAAGGGCAGAGACAAGTTCACCTGAGCAAATGTAAAGCTGGGCGCTTGTTGCAGTGCCTCCGTCGGTGGCGGCTGAAGAATGATGCTGCGTCGTGGCGATTCAACAGGTGATGAGGCCAACGAAGGTGTGGCAACCACACCAGTCACAAGAGCAGCAGTATCAACAGTAGAAATGACACTCGGCTCCGTGTGCTGCTGTACTTGGCTAGGCAGAACGGCCGCAGACAACATCTGTTGGGCGGTTGCAGTGTTTGTCAATGTTTGGGCTCTCTTGCCTGCAAAACGAGCAGTTACAGATTTACATTAATTGATAACTAAATAAATTAGAAACTAAAACATCAATTTAAAGGCACAAACTAAATAACATTTCATTTCATCTTCTTGGCCAAACCCTTGAGCAACTTAAACTTAAAACGTAAACGGGCCCAGGGTTTCTTCTGCCTCTTAATTTGCACTGGAACATTGGTAAAACCCACACTTTTAGCTGTGGCCGTCGAGAACGTTGACAGGTCGTAGTTGCGCACCGGCAAAGGCAATGA